GAAGGCGACGAGGAATCAGGTCGCCAGACAGGCCGGTCAGGCCGAGTCTCCAGAGCGCGCCGGCCGAGGAGACCGTTAGGCGTGAACGCAGGTCGCGCCGGGCTCTCGTCGTCTGCCGAGAGGCTCCACCGTCCCATGAGCGCGCCGTCTACCCCCAGGCCTCTAAGGGGCGCGCCGTGGGGCGGTGCCTTCCAAAGCCTGCTCCGGCGGGCGGGAGGCGAGGGCGCAAAAGTGCCGGAAGCGACGTCTCCGTGCTGGACGGGGCGCTGCCTAAGGCGCGTGCGCGGCAGCAGGAAGCTGCGAACGGTGGATGTGGCCATGCGAACGGTGGGCCGCCCATCGTGGACGGAACGTGGGGAGCGTCGTCCAAACAGGGAGCCGTCACCCTGGAGGTCAGGCGAGGGAACGAGTCGCCGCTCAGCTTCGGACACTCGGTGTCGGCCCAGCAGCTGCTTCGGTGCCAAGCTGGCAAATCAACGTGATACACTTTGAACGGGGCTCAAACGTAGCTTTATGACAAGATTGAAATGTGATAAATGGATTAAACTTAACGAGGGCCCACACAGACGAGCCAATTATAATGTCAAGGCGCGAGAAATAAGGGGGGGGGGGCCACCCGTGTGCGTGCCAAGAATGAATGAGATGATGTGGGCGCCAGCGTATGCCAATGCTTGGAATGGGTGTGATGGGGCGCGGTGTGCATGGAGCCTGCGTGGATTAGTTGAGGCCGGGGGGGGGGGGAGGGGTCCCATGGTCATTACCTAGTGGGCTCTTGTCAATATAATTCGCCAGTGCGTGAGACCCTTGCCAGTTGGGTGTATATGTATGCACGCGATCCCGTTTTTGCCCCATTTAAATATTATCGCAAGCTTAAGGGTGGAGATGGATACCGTGGTTAAAGGGCGCACAGCCATGGGCGGGGAGACAGCCGTTCATGGTGCCCGACCGGATCCACCATCCCGCCAATGCCCCGGTCACCCGCTTCATCCTAGCTGTGTGGCTCACATGAGTGCGTGTTGGCGTCGGGTGTACCGGAGCCACAACGTGCCGAACCGTGCGCTAACATAATCGGGCTCGCATGCTGACCAATGGGCTCCTCATTATAAATCTGCTCTTGTGGGACGGCGTGACAGCGGCAGCCGGCGGCTGCCGCTGTCACGCCGTGCGGCCTGGCGGCCGCGGCGGCCAGGCCGCACGGCGTCCCACAAGAGCAGATTCAACATCCAGCGGCGTGGCGGCCAGGCCGCACGGCGTCCCACAACAGCACGGCAACATCCAGCGGCGGCCTGGCAGCCGCGCACGACGCCCACCGCAAGAACCCCCCCCCCCCCCTCCCCCACAATGCCACTAGTAGCAGAGAGACTAGATGAACGAGTGCATCCCGTGAAACCACTTCCTTACCGTGTTTGTGAAGCTGATGGCTTGTAATTTCACGTCCCAACATGCCTGTTCTCAGTATGTTACAAATACATTGACAAGCGTGGAAAGGATGTATATGTATGTAAAGAAAGTATAATGTAAATGACAGCTATGCGATCTTGAGTACCTGTAGATGTACAACTATTATTATTATTGTTGTCGCTGTTCTTACTATCTCACTATTTCTGACCACAGAAATTCATTGCACTGGTCACATCGACCCGGTTAGCACTTGATTTTTTCATTTGAATGGTATATAAATTTGACTTAGGTTCAACTATGATGATCTCTAGATCACCGTTAAATATAATATTTATGTTTGGAATACTTTTACTCCACAGCTGCACCTGGTAAAAAATGTATTCAGAAGCGCATTTTGAAGAAAGGTATCGTTTGTGTAGGCTACTTGTAGACGAACTTTGAACGGGACCTGATCTGACCTGACCCAGGTAGAGAGCAGAAATGGTCAGAATGGACTTCCCAAAGGCGCTTCTTTAAGCGCCTTCAACACCGGTCTGCATGTGTTAACACGGGTTTTAACCACAGGTATCGTAACGACCGTTTTTTTATCTTTCTTGGCCTCTGGCGACTTCAATTTTGACTTAATGTAAAAAAAACGTTGTGTGCTTTCGTCATGCTTTGAAGAGACCTACAAAGGGGTATCTTTTTCTCATGCGGCGTCTGAAAGTTGAAGATCCTAAGGAGCCAGTCAACTTCACCCACGAGCGGGCGCGGTTACCTCAGATCCCCGGCAGGGCGCGGGTCAATTCCTTTGAAAAATTAAAATTCATCTATCAATTGTATGGTCTTTGTTGAGCAATTTCATTCAACAGTGTTATTATTAGACACCATTAGTCCTCAAGTTTCAGCAAATAATGTTTTCGAAATATGCCGAAAAGTTGGCACACTGCCATTAACTGACCGTCTCTCAGCGGCATGGCAGTCCGGCAGTCAACGTTTTGGGATCCAACCCCAAGTGTTTTTTTGTTTTTGTTTTTTTTTTGGTTCTGGCATGCGTGGCATGGTCATGGTGTCTAATCAGGGAAGTTTGGGAGTGGAGCATCGCAGAAAAGTGGAGCATCGATAAACATTTGCATCGGAACGCAGGCCAAAGGCACTCTGCCACGGCTACATGTCCTACCAAAGGTGGAACGGTCACAAAATCCTTCATGAATTAGAGAGCTCCCATCCTCCTGTTATATTTTTAATAAACTTTAAATCATCTAATACGCAAATCCTCGCCCTTCTAGGGGACAAATAGGTAAATCCTCGCCTTTTCTGAAATCGCGCCGAAATTTTATTTAGCCTCTGGGGTATCTATTGCACGTGGTTTGACACAAAAACGTGTTCCCAGTTTTTGTTCTCTATGAGAAGCGATGTTGTTGTTTTTTTAGAAACACGGCAGTCTACCGCCGGGGCAGGCTGCGGCCGGCAGCCGACGGTTCTGCGGACTGGCGCGGCTGGCAGCCGACGATTCCGCGGACTGGCGCGGCGGGCAGCCGACGATTCCGAGGACTGGCGCGGTGGGCAGCCGACGATTCTGCGGACTGGCGCGGTGGGCAGCCGACGATTCCGCGGACTGGGGCGGCGGGCAGCCGAC